ATATATATGCTTGTAACGTGACCATAGTATTGATAATATACCTCATGTACTATTTAGTAAAATTGAGGCGTGACTGGCATGTTATAATTTTAAAAAAGTTCATACACATCGTGGTTAGGAGGGCTAGTTGGTTCATAGTCTTTAAAACGTTATAGCGACGAAAACACAGACAAAGGTGAAAGAAGCGAACGGACACAATGCGCGTCAGAACATATATTTCTGTAAATTCTTTTGCCATGGCCGGTGGATGGTTGTATTCCATGGAACAGCACAGTAACGTCCTCAGGGTAGCAACTAGGGATGCCGCGAACCGCCCCAGGTTCGATTTCGAAAGGTTTCAATATTTGCGAAGCGAACTGAAGTTCGATTTCGAAAAATTTCGATATTTTCGTATTGACCGAGGTTCGAATTCGAAAAATTCGCAACTTTCGATCACAGTGAAGTTTCGAATTCGAAAAGTTCGAAATTTTCACGGTTTCTAAAATTTCGGATTCGAATATTTCGAATATTTTTTTTACTTCAGGTTCGATAAAATCGAAGATTTCGAAATTCTTTGGAAATAACATTCGAAAACTTCGAACGCTTCGAATTTTTATAGACATGAAGATCGAACAATTCGAAGATTTCGAATTTCTTTCTGCATAAAGTTCGAAAAGTTCGAAGGTTTCGATTTTCTTTTAACGCTAAATTCGGAAAAAGAAAAAAAAAACCTTCAAAGATTTTGAATTCCTTTCTAGTCCAAGTTTTCAAAGTTCGAAGTCGGGTTTTCAAATTCCTCCACAGTTTGTTTCAAATAACGTTCTTACGACTCACTGGTTTCCACAAAATCAAGTTTAGAAAAGTTAGGGTGTGATATCTAAATTCTGCGAAGTTGATCAGGCAATTAAATGAGACGACGAGTGTCCCGGATGTGCTGGAATATTTGCCAGTGCAGAGTGACGTGTGACCATAGATCAGTAATTGGGACCGCCAGCCCGGGGGGGGGGGGGGGGGGGGGGGCTTTTAACCTGCATCACGCAGTAGTGATCACACGAACACACTGTTTTACGAGACTCATCCAGTTCGAAACGGCCAGGGGCGAGCAGGAGGTTGAGGCTCAGAAAAACCTTGAAGCGACCTGGCAAACCACCTCGCCACCCCCTGCACGCTGCTAATAATCCGATCGAACGCCGCCCGAGTGCCGCTGGCATATAGTAAGTTAAGTTTGTAATTGTCCTGGGGGTTTATTTTCTGGGACGGAGGAATCGCCTCGCACAAGCCGACACAACTCAAGGTTGAGGAGCGTTATACCATACAAGTGGCTTCGGAAGAGGAAAAACGGGGGGAAAGAGGGTACCGGGGGGGGGGGGGGGGGGGTCTTCAGTTCCCTTCCCCCCCTTCCAGATATTTCGGACTGTTAAAGGAAACAAAACGGGAAAGAGGGCGTGGTCGAGCTTATTTTAATCTGAAATTATTTATGCATATATATCGCTACTGTCGCTCTTCACTGCATACAAGATTGCGTAGATGGTCATTGTTAGAAACTCGTTGTCAGAAGGCACCACTCGTCACATGCTTAGTGGTTCGGAAGTTCAAAGCTATGTCTTTTCGACCTAAGTACTTGTGCCAATAGTAAAAAATAAAAAAATAAATAAATGCAAGGATAAAAAGCTGGAAAAAAAAAAACTATCAAGAATTTGGCGGAAGTGTTGTATTCTTGCATATTCAGAGGTTCAGAACTTCGAAGCAAGTTTCTTTTACCAATATGTGTACAGGCTAAAAGAAACACGTCCCAGGAACGTGAAGCGAAAAAAAAAAAAAGTTTTCTTTTAATGACGTGCTGAACTTGAACACTATTAGAAATCTTCTCAAATAAGTTAATTTATTCCTTAACGTGAAAAAACAATAAATACATTATTTTTTATTCTGGAGATAGCAATGATATGTACTGTATGTGGTGTTAATTTAAATGCGATACCTCAAACAACTTAGACAAAAATAGATATCAAGTTTAGGCCATAATTGCATGTAGATACATGTTTGGACATTTCTTCGAAACTCTCGTTGAATAACAATAATCACATCTTAAGACGGCACTTACCTAGGCGATACATAGATCATTCTTAAAAAAGTATAACATCTCTACCATAAATAGCTTCGGCTACTGCGCGCTTCAAATCTGGCACAAACGATAATCGTCAAAAACCCGTCGTCCTTCCTCGCTTCTTCGGGAATTTATTTTTTTTTAAACTAAGCATGCCAGAACATTGAAACAAACGGCATTGTCTTTCGTAAGGAACGCAGCACCGCGTGTAAAAGTTAGAGAAAAAAAACTACGAATGTACCTCACTACTTGAATTCAAATGAAGCCGTCCGCCGGTCATTCGAAGTTCGACGAACGTCAAACTTTTACCCTAAAAGTTCGAAGTTCGTCGAATTTCTGACTTTTCAGGATTCGAAAGTTCGAAGCTTTTCGAATTCTCTTGATAAATAAGTTCGAAAGTTCGAAATTCATCGAATTTGTTGGTCAGTCAAGTTCGGAAGTTCGACAAGCATCGAACTTTGAGGCGCAATAAGTTCGAGAGTTCGTAAAAGATCGAATTTTTTAGCGTAATAAGTTCGACGGTTCGAAAAACGTCGAACTTCTTAGCTTAACAAGTTCGAAAATTCGACTTCCGTCGAATTTTACGATGTAAACAATTCGAAAAATCGAAATCTTTCGAACCTTTTGAACCGCTTGATTCGATCATCGAAACTTCGATTCGAAAAAAGTTCGCGGCATCCCTAGTAGCAACCTTTTTTAATAGCATAGGCATAAATCCTAGACCGGCAACACGAGATAGCAATGAGATTAATTAAAGGGTAGACCGACTGATGATAGGTGTGGGAACAGATAAAAGGGCCCGTTGTAAAAGAAATATACTGCAGCAAAGTGGTTATGTGGGCCAGTTGGTTCACTGTCTTTAAAGAGTAATAGTGCCAAAAATACAATCAAGGACCAAGAAATGAAGAAACACTAGGGGTTTCTAGTATAAAAATTAAGTTTAACAATCCTCTATGTCAGGCAATGGAAGGGCGAGATAAATTATTTTCAAAAACCGAGCGGGCTGAGTACGAAATTTTGCTTCTCTCTCGCGGCCCAATTTTCATGTACACGGGCGAGGCTCGTTTAAAACTTCTCGATTTTTTTTTTATTTGAGGTAATAACAAGTCATACAGATAAGCGGGGGAAATGCATAACAATACATAGCATTTTTAGTATTACAAGCTCAAAGTAACATTTGGGGTGATAAAAGAAAACGTGATTTTAAGTGAGGTTAACAATATACTCTTGAAGATTTTTTTTTTTTTTTTTTTGTCACAACCTTGAAAGACCCGTCTTTATTTTAGCCTTCATCCACAAGTGGCAGGATTCAATGTTTTTTCACGAGACTCAAAAAATGTCATTCCTTTTTCACCGTCTCGCGGTATTGGGTGAGGCATGCTGCATCATTTTTGAGGAGTGCGATTCCAGGCGATTTCGGGGCTAGTACACAAGAAAAATCATGAGCACTTCCGGTGGTTTCCAGTTCTTACGACCTGAGGTTGTGCAAGGGGGCTTGGTGCTTGATGAATCTCCCCACGCCATTACACGCACTTCTGCCGTATACCATAGCTTGAAATATTAATTCGGTCATCTCTTGTCTCTTCGCCATCTCGTATAGTTGATGAAACCTATTCTTGAAACGCTAGCCTCCCGTTCGGAGTTGTGAAGAAGTTTTGTAAATATCGGAATGTTTTCTTCCAGACACTCTTCAACTGCGCGCAGTACAATACAACACACGCAACTGTGCGTGTGTTGTATTGTGCACGATGCCGTCGCTGGCAACTCCGAAACTGTCGATTTTGCGCTCCGTTGTGGCAACGCAGGTGAAGATAGACACGATTTGGTTCTTCCAATGAAAGTGTTGTACCGCTCGCGGAAGAACGACCCTCCAGTTTTCCACAAGATCAAAATGCAACACGATGGTACGCGCCTTAGGGCGCTACTTTTCTGAGCTTAGAGCAAGCCGCTGAGCGGGAACGCGACAGAACAGCACACGACCAAACAGCACGCGACAAAACAGCACGCGTCAAAACAGCACAGCGTCAAAACAGCACGACGACAAAACAGCACGCGTCAAAGCAGCACAACGACAAAACAGCACGCGAGTAAAAAGGCTGTAATAGGTAGCGTTTTATGAAAACAAAACAGAACGTAAAGAAAGAGGGTTGGACATTGCATGGCATTATTTAACAGCTAGTGGAGAAGCAATAAAAAAAATGCACGCTGGCGGCGACGGGATCGCACTCAAGTCAGTGTCCCGAGTCAGGCACGTAGCCAGGATTTTGTTTCGGGGGGGGGGGGGGGGGGGGGGGGCACGTAGCCACGATTTTGTTTCGGGGGGGGGGGGGGGGGAGGGGGGGAGGGGGGGGAGGGGGGGGGGCCCGCCCGCATGACAAAATGCTGTATGAGGGGGAGGGGGGGAGAGGAGGGTCCCAGAAAAATGGAAGATTTCGGGGGGGGGAAGAGCCCATGGGCCGCCCCCCTGGCTACGTGCCTGTCCCGAGTGCTGCTGCTGTGTGATTGCTAAAAACAAATAAAGTTAGCAGTAGTTACTACTACTTGACTACGGTAATTTCTGAAGAGATTGGGTAGTTAGGGGGGATACCTTCGCGTCGATGTTGGCTACGTTGTCTGGTCTTTTTG